GTGAGTGAGTGAGTGTGTGTGTGTGTGTGTGTGAGTGAGTGTGCATGTATCTGTGTGTGAGTGTGTGCTTATGTGTGTGTGTGAGTGAGTGAGTGAGTGAGTGTGTGTGTGTGTGTGTGTGTGTGTGAGTGTGTGTGTGAGTGTGTGTGTGCATGTATCTGTGTGTGTGTGAGTGTGTGTGTGCATGTATCTGTGTGTGAGTGTGTGCTTGTGTGTGTGTGAGAGAGAGAGAGTGTGTGTGTGTGTGTGTGTGTGTGTATGTATCTGTGTGTGTGTGTGACTCAAGGATACAGACGAGTGAGGTGGTGAGGATGGCCAAAATGGTGCCGATGGGAATGGAGCGCTGGGCGTCCTTCAGATCTCCAGAGCGGTTCGATCCCGCCATGATTCCTGACACACAGAGCAGCGAACAAACATCAGTGATTTACATGAAGAGACGCGATTCGATGTCACATGACGATACACGGCATCTTCTCAGAAGAAAACAGAGTTATACTGATAGTTCACAGTTCATTCTGGAAATGGAAGGACAAGTCGAGTGCACTGTTCAAAATCTACTGTTCATTTGGGTCAGTCGTGGCCTAATGGCTACACATCACTTTTTAAAAATTTTTTTTTTTTTTAATTCCAGAAATTGTGCAGAATAACAGCGTAATAAGAGCATTTTTGTGTGGCAGTATAAAAATGTTAATCAATTAAATATATAACTTAGCAAATTAAAATAAACAGGGTATCTGCAGGATTTTTCAGCTCAAATTTAAGACTTTTTAAGACAGGGGCAGGGCAGTGTCTATGGTAACATATTAAACTGTTAAAATGACCGTAAAAATAACAATTACCGTTCAGATACAGGTTTTCACAAAAACAAAAAGTTTTATAAAATGATGCACTTCACATTTCAGCTTTTAAAAGAGTCAAAAGTATCAATTATTATTAGTCAATCGATTAAAAAATTTCAAGCCATTCAACATTACAGTATAACTGAGAGCTGTCAATCTGAACATTTATTAGACTTTAAAATATAACAACTTCTAATTTAATTGAACTTAAAGCCAGTTTCACATAAACCCATTATAATAAATGTCAGATTTAGTTATGTGCCATTCAGCAAGTAGGAAATATACAGAAACAGAATAAAGTTATCAAACACTAGATTCTAAATTAAATGTAGATGAATCCTTAAAGCTACAGAAGTGATTGATTTCCTCTCTTTTCTTTAGTTCTTTGAGCAGCATCACAGCAGATGGTTATCAGGTTATTTCAGCTGCTGTACGTGACGTGGATCTGACACGCTTCGTAGTTTCTCATAACTCTTTAGAGAATATGTTTTGACATGACCTGACATTTGTGCTTTTTCAGTTTCTTATAAACATATTAATGGCTAAAGTCTGATTACACTGTGTTACATTAATATGTAATCAGTATGCATGTTACTTGTATTTCTGAGAAAATAAGGTTTATGTGTGGTTAGTGAAAAAAGTATTTTTTATCTGCACTCAAATGAACATATTAATGGCTAAAGTCTGATTACACTGTATTCAGCGCAAACCGGGCTACAATAATATGTGAGCAATTCTGAGAAAATAAGGTTTATGCGTGGTTAACGTTTAAATCACTGAAATAAGGCCATGAAGTTGAATAAGTAATTAAACATAATATAAAATTAAATGTATTAGAATTGTTTAAATTTAATTTATTAAAACATTATATACAATATAAAATATAAAACTAATAAAATATATAAAAAATAATTAAATGAATAAATAAATTAAGTAAATACACTATTTATAAACATACATAATTTCAATAATTATAATGAATAAATGTTATATTATAAGATCACAGCTTTATTATCATTATCACCAGCAAAATATGCTCTAGTTGTAACTGCACATTTCATATTTTTGTACAGGTCTATTCAGGTATTTTATGGCTTATTAGCAAACAGTGCAACTCCTTCGTGAGCAGAATGATGGTGTGTTATTATGAACACACTCTCAGACTGATTAGCTGCTATAAATGAGAGAGTTAGCATTACCGGTGACGGAGGGGAAGAAGATCCCGATCAGCAGTGTTACGAATCACGATACATAGCTCACGATACGGTAATATCACGATACATTGCTAGACAATTCTATAATGATACATCACGATATCTGTCTAACATTCAAGTCCAAACTGTTAGAAAGCAGTTCAAAAGTTCAGTAAATCAAATTTAACATGCTAAGGAAATTAATCATTTTATTCTAGGACTTACTAAAAGCTTACACTTTTCTTTTTTGTGGAAACCAACTCATTTAACGGCTTATAAACTTTAACATAAAGCTGGACGCGCCGGCGCCGCTCTCTCTCACTCATATAGGTCCGAGCGGAGAGGTTAGGCTACTCACAGACTCAATATGCGCTCTGCAATAATATCGTGATCGATGCCTACAGTCCATGCTGATAGCTGTTCCGGTGCAGTGAAATCTATATAGAGCGCCTTATTGTACTAAATTGTAGTATTGTATTGTAGAAAAATATCGATATTTGGCGCCAGATATCGATTCTCGTATCGCATGAAGAAGGACAACGATATATCGCCATATTGATATATTGTCCCACCCCTACTGCCAACGCTGTCAATTAATAACGAATTTCAGATTTTTTTTAAACAAAAATTTTATAAATTAATATATATTAGTATATAAGTGATCAAATATATTATTTACACAATATATAATTTATTTAATTCATTTGTACGTCAATTTGACAATGGTAATATCAACAACAACAAAAATCCATTAAATTTGACTATGTTTGTATGTATATATTTGCATTACATTGGTCATCACATATATTTCCATAGTATTTTTCAGGATTCACAGATGAATATAAAGCTCAAAAGAACAGCATTTATTTGAAAGAGAAATCTTTTGTAACATTAGGATTGTCTTTGCTGTCACATTTGATCAGTTTAATGCGTCCCTTATGAATAAAGTACTTTTAAATAGGAGTGTACTGCGCATCACAAGCTAGCTTTGATTAAAAGGTTAAGTATTTAAATAAATGAACACTTATTTTTGCACATGATTTCAGATGGACGTGTTCATCCTCACAGATACTCACGGGAAGGATGGCGGGCTGAAGACGGACACCAGCGCTCCGGTGTAGATAGAGAGGATGGACACGATCACACAGGCCAGAAACACAGACGCCAGCTTGTTGACGTATTTGACTCCCACGAACACCAGCAGCGACATCAGCACTAGGAAGATGGAGCCGTAGACGCGCATGTTGTTCAGCATGGCCGCCGCCTCGTCGTCAGGACTCTCCGAGACGAAGATGGCAGAACTTGGAGCGATATACATCTGTAAACGGCAGAAGAACTGAACAAAAACTCTGATGCGAACCACCGTAATATTAATGTTAGACGTGAAGACCTGCGCACCAGCAGGATCTCGACGGCCCCGAGGATGTACATGGAGCCGGCGAAGGTCGTGCCCAGATAGAAGCAGGAGCCCACGGCCCCGCCGAACTCGGGCCCCAGCGAACGGGAGATCATGAAGTACGAGCCGCCCGCTGGAGGAGCGGAGAGACAGACGGCTGTGTGTTAGTCACTATGTTAACTCTACAACAGCAGGAGAGACAGATTCATCAAGCCTACGGCAGCAGAAGCAGCTCAACATCAGCAGAGTCAGATATGATACTAGAAATCATTATTATGCATGCAAATCATATTAATAGAGAGACACAGGGATTAAAGTTCCGTCGCTACGACGGCTTTCCGTCAGTTCTTAAAGCGAATCACGTGCTTCATTCCTGAATGATTCAGCCGTTCGAACGAATCAATTGAATGAATGATTCAGTGATAAAATCAGTGACTTGCCGCCATCTGCTGGCGGATTTAGTTTCATTTTTAGCCTATAATTTCAGTTATTTAAATCATATTTCTGTATTCAAAATTTTATATTTAAAACATTAATCTCCACATGAATTTAATTGCACTCATGCCACCTCTGAGCCTCATTAAACGTCTGAAAATGTACCTACAAGCCACTTGTGTTCTTCTCTGTAGTACAATTTAATTTATTAATACTAATTTCATATGATTGTTAACTTATTTGTCTTATTCTACTTCTTATAATATTGCAGGGGTTAAAGCAAAAACTAAATCTTTTGACTGACAATTTTCCTTCGACCAAACCCCATTCCTCAGCCATACCTGTCACACCCAATTTAAGAGCAGTGTTTTTCTTGTAATTAGGAGCGCTTGTCCTCCTAATTTAAACATTTAGGAGCACCTTCTGATCAATAATTAAAAATTCTGATAAAAAATTTCGAATACGAGGTGACATTTGACTCCTTAAA